AACTCCACCGCGGCGGCCCCAGCCACGCCCGGAGCTTCTCCGTCGCCGGCGACCCTGGGGTCCCCCCGGGCGCCGCGGCTCCCCTCCGGTCCCAGGCCCGCCCCGGTCACGGACGGTGCGTACCGACAGCCAGTTCCTGGAGATCGGGATCCGGCTTGGAGGGCAGGGGAGGAGAGCCAGCGTTAGTGCTCAGGGCCAGAAATAAGGAATCCCCGCCGAGGAAATGCAGTGGAAGTTTCTGGGTAGTGGTGGAAGTGAACCCCCGGGCGGCCCTGAACTTTTCATTATCCTAGCTGCTCCAAAAGCTGAGTTCTGAGGATCGGGGTTCAAATCCACCCGGGGCAGGAAAGTCCATGCAACTGTTCCACTGAAACACCGAAACCGCTGGAAGTGGAGTTGTGACTCAAACGGTAGAGCATTAGCTTAGGCCCTGAGTTCAAGACTCGGGTACACACACACGTAATGAAAACCTCCCAGTGGTCATCGTTAGTATGTAACAGTTGCTAAGTGGGGAGATTTCTGCTTCTCTTCCATGCTTTCTTGTAAATCACCAGAGAGATGTTAAGCCCCTGAGCCATGGGTCCAGCAGGTGAGAATAGGTATGCCAGTTCTTAAACCTGTGTAGTCATCAGCATCATCTGACAAGTACGGTGATTCAGGTTTCTTATTCAGCTTACCAAAGTGGAGCTAGACCCCAAACAGAACTTCCAAACAAGTCAAACGAAGAGCCACTTTGGGAGACATGGGAGAACTCGTTTCCAATTGGCAGATTTCCCCACAAGCACAGCACAGTACAGTGCCCCTTTCCTATGACACCGACCTAAGACACCTGGCGTAGGTAGGGGGCAGTCACCCCCTGCTGATTGACCTACTCTTCTTCCTGCAGTTGCCTCTCTGTGTGTCTGTGACTTGTCCCCAGCCCAGTGTGACATCAACTGCTGCTGTGATCCCGACTGCAGCTCCACAGATTTCAGTGTCTTCTCTTCTTGCTCAATTCCAGTCATCACGTAAGTACAACCTGTGTGTGTGTGTGCGTGTGTGTGCACGAGGCACTGATGCTTTACTACTTGCACCACATCTCCACTTCCAGCTTTTTTTTTTTTGTCTGTCAGGCTTGAACTCTGGGCTTGGGCGCTGTCCCTGCGCTCTTCAGCTCAAGGTGAATGCTCTACCGCTTGAGCCACAGCAGCACTTCTGGTTTTCTAGTGGATTATTGGAGATAAGAGTCTCACGGACTTTCCTGCCCAGGCAGCCTTTGAGCCTCGATCTTCAGATCTCAGCCTCCTGAGTAGCTAGGATTACAGGCATGAGCCACTGGCGCCCGGCAAGACCAGAAATTTTTGATCCATTCTTATACTTATAAACAATGTCTGTGTGTATGCATGTGTGCACGCAAGCCTGTCCTGGGGCTTGAATTCTGAGCACTGTCCCGGAGATTTTGTGCTCAAGAGCAGCACTCTAGCATTTGAGTCACAGCCCCATTTCTGGCTTTTTTGGTGGTGAGTTGGAGTCTTGGGGACTTTATTGCCCAGGCTGGTTTTGAACCTCAATCCTCAGATCTCAGTCTCCTGAATAGCTAGAATGACACTTGTAATCAGATTGGTACCTGGCCAATTGAAGCACTAAAGAAGTATCTTACCATTGGTATGGAGTTTCCAGGTTCACTTGCATCAAACTTATACATTAGAACAAGATTTCCTTAAAAATGATGATGAAGTTGGGTGCTGCTGGCTCCTGCCTATAATCCTAGCTACTCAGGAGGCTGAGATCTGAGGATCACAGTTCAAAGCCAGCCTGGCCAAGAAAGTCCAAGAGACTCTAATCTCCAATAAACCACCAGAAAACCAGAAGTGGTACTATGACTTAAGTGGTAGAGCGCTCACCTTGAGCTGAAGAGCTGGAGGACAGTGCCCAGACCCAAAGTTCAAGCCCCACAAATGATCCAAGAAAAAAAAATGATTGTGATGACCATTTTCTGTTAGAGGAAAAAAAGCTTCAACTGCTAAACATTGTAGCATCTAACAGTTCACATGCAAGCACATGATAGGCTTTAAATCATCATGCTAAGACTGTGTGCTTCTGCTTTGGAATTTAATGCTATTATTCTTTGTAACTTTCAGGGGTGATCACCAGTTTTGCAGTCAAAAAGCAGCCGTCTACTCACTGAATTTCACAGCAAACCCTCCACAGAGGGTGTTTAAACTTGTTGACCAGATCAATCCATCCATTTTCTGCATTCATATTATGAACTGTAAGTATTTAATGCCAGTGTACTTTGTGAATCCTTATAAAGTTTTCTTTTTTTTTTTTTTGCCAGTCCTGGGCTTGAACTCTGGGCCTGGGCACTGCCCCTGAGCTCTTCAGCTCAAGGTGAGCACTCTACCACTTGAGCCACAGCACCACTTCCAGCTTTTTCTGCTTATGTGGTGCTGAGGAACTGAACCCAGGGCCTGATGCATGCAAGGCAAGCACTCTACCACTGAGCTACCTTCCCAGTCCCTTATAAAGTTTTCTTTTCTTTTCTTTTTTTTGTTGGTTGTGGGGCTTGAACTCTGGGCCTGAGCGCTGTCCCTCAGCTCTTCAGCTCAAGGTGAGAGCTCTACCACTTGAGCTACAACGTCACTTCCTGTTTTCTGGTGGTTTATTGTAGATAAGAGTTCCACGGACTTTCCTGCCCGGGCTGGCTTTGAACTGCGATCCTCAGATCTCAGCCTCCTGAGTAGCTAGGATTACATGCATGAACCACCTGGTGCCTAGCTGAGTTCTTTCTTTTTTTTTTTTTTTTTGTCGGTTGTGGGGCTTGAACTCTGGGCCTGGGTGCTGTCCCTCAGCTCTTCAGCTCAAGGTGAGCGCTCTACTACTTGAGCTACAGCGCCAATTCTGGTTTTCTGGTGGTTTGTTGGAGATAGGAGTCTCATGGTCTTTCCTGGCCGGGCTGGCTTTGAACCGCAATCCTCAGATCTCAGCCTCCTGAGTAGCTAGGATTACAGGCGTGAGCCACCAGCACCCGGCTGCTGAGTTCTTTCTTATACTTGATTTCCAAGGCATTTCAACTGTAACCTGCACAGGAATCCAGATTTACATGTATACATGTGAGTTTTAGGTTATTTCCTCTTGTGTAATGGTTGAAAATCAGGTCTATGTTAGAAGAGTACCTGTGGTTTCTATTTCCTTTTTCTTTTTATTTTTACTAAGATTATTTGCATGAAAGCAGGATCTTTATTTTTATCTGAGTATTTAGTTCCAGTAAATGTGAGTGTGAAATGTCCTCAACATGTCAAAGATCAGAGACACATTTATGGTTTCATCAGTGTGTGTGTGTGTGTATGTGGACGTGCGTGCGTGTGCGTGCGTGTGCGTGCATGCATGCCAGTTTTAGGGCTTGAGCTTGGGGCCTCGTTGCCATCCCTTAGCCTTTTTGCTCAAAGCTGGTGTTCTATCCCTTGAGCCATACCTCCAGTTTAGCTTTTTGGTGATTAATTGGAGATAAGAGTCTCTTGGATTTGTCTGCCTAGGCTGGTTTTGGACCCCTATGCTCAGATCTCAACCTCCTGAGTAGCTAGGATTACAGGCGTAAGCCACCAGCACTTGGCTAAATTTCATCATCTTCCTTCAGTGTCTGTCCCTTTTGTTGTTGTGATTGAGAACAGGCATTACACTCTGATCTGTTACCTGCAGTGACACAGCTGACCAGTGATTGGCCCGTTCTCTGCCATACCGCCAGCCCAGCCAGCAGGCCCGTCCTCATTCTCCCTCTCTCCATGGCCATCGGGGAGCCTCTCCCCTGCTCCCAAGAGGCAGCAGCAGACTCCATGGCAGATTCAGTCTCTGTGGAGACCTGAGTAGATGAAGGGCTCTTCTTGGCGTGGCTGGTATGGCTGGCGTGGCTTCTGTTCTGCCATTTCCATGTAGGCGTCAGGAACCATTCCTGCCCCACAGTCAGAAGCAGGAAGTCTGTTTATTTAACAAGGCTCGGGAAATCCTGGGTGCAGGAAATATGCAAAAAGATTCTTCCTGCTTAACACTCCAGCTTCTAAACCATGACAGGTGTCATATTGAATATCCATGTTTATGCTGACGTAAAATATTTTTCCCTAATAACAGATAAACCCGCACTGTCCTTTACTGATCCGGAAGTGCCCAATGAAAACACTTTTGACAGATCCATGAAGACACCTAGTGGTTTCATGTCCAATATGGAATCAGATGTTTCTCTTACAACCAATCGGGAAGCAGCAAACACTGCAAACTATAAGGTGAGCCTGAACTGTGTCCTTGTGCCCTGGTAAGGTAACTGTCAATGCGTAACCCAGGACTGCCTCCCTGGATACAGAGCCTTGGTATTGTGCTCTAAAAAAACGTAGTATTTGTGCCTTTGAGTTAAAGATGATGGAAATTAAAGCTGAATGTTTAAATTCTGGATGTAGGATTGATTTCAGCTCATTGCTGCTGTGGTAAGCTTTGTTTTCATCTCTGCAGAATTCTGCTCTATCAACCTTAAAAGATACAGAATTCATCTGGGCATCAGTGGCTCATGCTTATAATCCTTATAATCCTAGCTACTCAGGAGGCTAAGACCTGAGGATTGTGGTTTGAAGCCAGTCCAGGTAGGAATGTCTGTGAGACTCCAGTTAACTACAGAAAACTGGAAGTGGAGCTGTGGTAGATCATTAACCTTGAGCACCAAAGCTTAGGGACAGTGCCCAGGTCCAGAGTTCAAGTCCCAGGACTGGCACAAAAAAAAAAAGTGAGAAAAAGAATAAGAGCTGGGCACAGGTGGCTCACGCCTATAATCCTAGCTATGTGGGAGGCTGAGATCTGAAGAATGCAGCCAGCCTGGGCAGCAAAGCCCAATAAATCACCAGAAAAAATGGAAGTGGAGCTGTGGCTCAAGTGGTAGAGCACTAGCCTTGAGCTGAAGAGCTGAGGGACAGCACCCAGGCCCAGAGGTCAAGCCCCCTGACCTACCAAAAAAAAAAGGTGAAATCAGCACTGTTGCATCTTTAATCCCAACACTTGGGAGGCTGAAGCAGGAGGATTAAGAGTTGAGTCCAGGAGTTGAAGACTAGCTTTGGCCACACAGTGATACCAGGGCCATGCTGTGTGGCCCCTCGTGGGCATGCAAGTCAATGGTGACGGAAAGCCTGAGAACACTGTAACCCGTGCAGGTGGTTGTGTTTGTAGTACAGGGTTCAGTGCACACTTCATACGTGTGTTCACTGTGTTTGTAGTATGGGGATCCCGTGCAGATTTCACATGCGTCTTCACCTTCGTTTCTGCGGCTTCCTTCACCTCTCACGTCATCTCTGTGCACTGACGGCAATCCTGCAGGTAGGAGGCGCCCTGTTCTTTCTCCCTCTGACGCTTTGCTGGTGGCAGTAGTTGTAGCCAAACAGGCTACGACTTTGGGCACAGAACCTTCAGGCCAGCAGATGCCTCCAAGTTCAGGCCTCTAAGCCCAGCCACACTTGAGGACTTTGGAATGTGTGTATGTGTGTGTGCGCCAGTACTGGGGCTTGAACTCAGAGCTTTGTGTTCTTGCTTGGCTAAAGGCTCGCACTCTACCACTTGAGCCACAGCTCTACTTCTGGCTTTTGTGTGATTAATTGGAGATAAGAGTCTTATAGGCTTTCCTGTCCTGGCTGGCTTCACACCATTATTCTGAAATCTCAGTCTCCTGAGTAGCTAGGATTACAGATGTGAGCCACAGCTCCAGGCCATAACATAAACATTTTATGTGCATCTTTTCTTTTGCTTACACAGACTATTTCTGAAAGATGTCCCAGCAACTCTATGCTGGCACCTCTGGGGGAGGGGCTGGGGGCCGGACTGGAGCATCCAGGGTCCTCTGGGCCTCTTGTGAATTTGGCGCATGCATTACCTAGTTGAAATAGAGCTTTGCAGCCCTGTGTTAGACAGCATTGCTGCGTTCCAGCTGTTTGGGTTTCCGATGGGGGTTGACGCTTTCTTCTCTGTGTCCTCGCCCGGCCGGGAATGTTACGATCTGCAGGGTTTCTGATGAACAAGGCTGTTGCGTGCACCCGCAGGGTGCGTGTGGAGCAGTGTGAAGAAACCGAGGCCCTGAGCATGGCTCATTACAGCAGCCCTGTGATTCTGGGGGTGAGTGGAACTGGTTTGTTGTATAATTCAGAATAAGATAATCACAGAATCATTTCAGTGACCAACCTTGGAATTTAACTGTCTCTTCCCAGCACTTAGGTTCTAACGATTATGAAAGCAATTTGGGGAATAATTTTTGTCTATACAGCTAGATCATGTGTTCTTTCATTCATTGATAGCGACACGCAGTAGCGTCCGACTGTGAATCAGACAAGTCACGAAAGCCTCATGGTGACAGCCGCCATGTTGGGGGGAGAAGCCGTCTCCCGGCGGAGCCCTCGGTCTCTGGCTGGCTGAGGAGCCGGGCGGCGGGGAGAGCAGGAAGGAGCTGCTGAGTCTGGAGCTCCTGAGTCCGGCCCCATCTCCTAATGGCATTGGGTCAGAGTAAGCGAGCCAGCCCCACTCGCCACGGCTCCACTTCCGGCTGTTTGCTGGTTAACCGGCAATGAGTCTTACAAACCTTTTTGCCCAGGGTGGCTGTGAAGCTCGATCCTCCTACGTCAGCCTCCTGAGCAGCCAGGTTACAGCGTGGGCCACCGGCGCCGGCTGCACAAGGCCATGAGGCCTGTGAGCTCTTCAGGCCGTTTGACTTCTAGGCTGTCCTGAAGGCGTGTGGGCATCTGGGAACCACACTGGCCCAGACCTGTCTCAGCCCTCCCCCTGAAGCTGAGGCTGGCGGTGGCCAGGAGGTGGGGGGAGGGCACACCCCTCCCAGGGGAGAACCCTACTGCACTGCTCGGCAAGCGGAAGCGTGGCATGGGTTGGACGCATAGCAGGAAACTGGGGGGCTTTCGGCTGGGGGCTTGGGGCGGCCACAGTGACCAGAAGGGTGGGACCTGCATCCGTTCTTCCCCAGGCTAGTGCTTGGTGCCCGCAGGGAACAATGACCGGAGCCAAGGCCTGTGACTGCGACCTTGAACCAGCGGGAAAGGCTGTGGAAATGGTCTCTTTGTTGTCCTTATCGAATTTGTTGTTTCTTTTATTCCTAGGTGCCTAATTCAGCAACACGTGTAAGTACTGCCTCTTTCCTTCTTCCTCCCTTCCGTCTTCTTTCCTTCCTTCCCTCCCTCCCTCCCTTCTTCCTCCCTCCTACCTCCTTCCTTCCTTCCTTCCTCCCACCCTCCCTTTTTCCTTCCTTCCTCCCTCCCTTCCTCCCTCCCTTCTTCCTTCCTAGCTCCCTTTGCTGATACTAAAGTTTGAACTCAGCACCTCACCTTGAGCCATGCCTGCAGCCTAGCTTTTTGCTGGCTGTGTTGGGAGATGGAGTCTCACAGATGTCTGGCTGGGCTGGCTTTGAACTACTATTCATAGATCTCTGCCCCTGAGTAGAGCAGGACAGGGATCTGGCACGGAGCAGCCCGTGTGTGACGGGCAGCTTGGGGCTCCACGCAGACAAGCATAGGAGTTAGCAGCAGGCACAACATGGGCCGAGTTTTGTCATCAGTCGGCTAGACCTCGAGTTCAGCAGATCTCCTTCCATCCGAGTGATGCTAGCGGCACCTCCCAGCCCGGAACGCTCTGTGCTCATTTCGTCACACATGATGCAAGATGTGCGCACGCCCCTGCCACACGCTCCCTAGTGAGGAGCGAGGGGGCTGTTCCGCGTCCGGAGCACCGACATTTTCTGCTGCATAGGCCCCGAACGTGCACTCAGCGTATCTAGCTTACCGGCTCTGCGAAGATAGTTGGGTATCTGAGGCACAAGTCAGTGTGCTTTTGTAAGTAGAGTCTACAGGAACGTTCTGTGATCCAGATGGATACCTCTGGGTAGGAATGTAAATGAGAGCGGGGAGAGAATGGTGGGAGAGATGACGGTCGATCCTCCTGATCCAGCCTGGTGTAGCTACCAAGATGGTCACCACTGCACTTGGCTGTGGAGTGGAAAGGAGGTCTTGCTAACTTTCTTGTCCAGGCTGGCCTTGAACAGTGATCCTCCAGTTCTCAGCCTCCCAAGTAGCCAGGGTTACAGGTGTGAGCCGCCAGCTCCCTGCCCAGCTTTCTCTTCACTGTTGTCCCCTTGCAGGTCCCCATCACCATTCAGTCCATCACCATCCGTTCTCAGAATCACACGCTGCAGCGACTGGAGGACACAGCGGTGCTGCATCCGGCTCTCCTCACTGGCCAGGGCGGAATCTGCATTAACGTTGTTCTTGAGGTGCGCTCCCCACTTGCTCTGCCAGCTCCTGTGGCTTATGGCAAGCTCTGGACCTGTGGGGGAGTGGGGTGCCTGTCACAGGGGCCCGGCCCCTCTTGGGGTGTTGGCCTGTCTCACTGGGCCCCTCTGCAGCCTCCACGAATGTGTTGTGGTTTTGTAGCTGCCGCTGCTGTGTCTGTACAAACACTGAGCGCAGGTGCCAATGTGGAATTAATGCGTAACTCGGGTACCGAGAGGCTCATGTGACCCCATCTCTGGGGTGGGGCTGTGGGGGTCGCTGCAGAGTCGGCAGAGATGAATTGGCAGAGAAAAGTGGCAGCCCAGGGGCTTCTTTGGGTTGTAATATAGCAGATGTGGGCACCTTTGGGGCATCCTTTTGCTCTGTTTAGGTCAAGTACAGCCTCACGTACACAGACGCAGGGGTCATATCGTCCGCGGGCGTTGCCTTCCTCCTGGGCTCCCTCAGCGGTGCGGTGGCTGATGTGCAGCAGAAGTTTGAAATTCACTTTCTCCAGGTGAGTTGGCTCAGCTCCATTCAAGTATTTCACAGCTATGTAAATAAGAGCATAACATTATCTGGGTGCTGGTGCTCCTGCGTCTAATCCCAGCTACTCTACTCAGGAGCTGAGATCTGAGGATTGAGGCTCAAAGCCAGACTGGACAGGAAACTTATCTCCAGTTAACCACTAAAAAGCCTGAATTGGAGGTATGGCTTAAGTAGTAAAGCACCAACTTTGAGCAAAGTAAAGGCCTGAGCCCAGACCCTCAGTTTCAGTGCTAACACCAAGTTTGTTTTTGTTGGTTTTTTTTTGTCGGCTGTGGGGCTTGAACTCTAGGCCTGGGCGCTGTCCCTGCGCTCTTCAACTCAAGGCGAGCGATCTACCACTTGAGCCACACCATTTCCAGCTTTTTCTGCTTATGTGGTGCTGAGGAATCGAATCTAGGGCCTCGTGCATGCGAGGCAAACACTTTACCACTGAGCCACCTTCCCAACCCCAAATCATAATTTCCTAGTGAGTCAAAGCCATTCAGAAGCATCACCCCGTGCGGCGCTGGGTCCAGCACTAAGGGAACCTCACAGAACAGGAGGCTGGCGTGTGGAGCGGGGGGTGATGGGAAGGGAAGCAGTGTGGGCCTCAAGCCTTTCCCTTTCCACCTGTTTGTCCAGCTCTGTGGTGGACCTCACACGCCCAGGGGAGAAACCCTGTGCTGGTCACCGCCCCCAGCGTGACTGTGAACGCAGCGCGGGTTCCCCTGCCAGCTGCCGTGCGTGCTCATGGCGGGCTTTCTGTATTTCTCTGCAGCAACACACGAAGCCAGTTCCTGTCAGCGGAAACCCGGGCTACGTGACGGGGCTCCCGCTGCTGGCTGGCTTTCGGCCTCATGGGGGATATCCTTTTTTTGGTCTGGGAAGGAAGGTGATTCTCTTCCTCTTGGGGCCCTGTGGACGGCCTGTGGGAAGGAGAGACCCAACATGGCCAGAGCTTCCTCTAAGGTTTGTGTGTGCACATGTGTGTGGCAAAGGGAGGGGACTGGAGGAGACTGGTGCTTGCACAGCCCAAGAAAATGACAGTGGTTAGAACTAAAAAAAAAAAAAAAAAAGTTGCGTTTGGGCATATTTGCCTCCATACTGCAAATGAAACTCCTAAGAAAATTGATGATTTTTTTTTGGAGGGGGGATTTAGACTTAGCTCTGAAGGGCCACTTTTTTTGGAGGGGGGATCATGGGGCTTGAATTCAGGGCCTGGGCGCTGTCCCTGAGCTGCTCAAAGAGCTGCACTCTACCATTTTGAGCCACAGTGCCACTTCCAGTTTTCTGGTGGTTTATTGGAGATTGGAGTCTCACAAACTTTCCTGCCTGGGCTGGCTTTGAACCATGATCCCTGGATCTCAGCCTTCTGAGTAGCTAGGATCACAGGCGTGAGGCACTGATGCCCTGCTGAAGGGCCACTTTCTGAAGAATTTTCTCAGGAACAAGGCCAAGTGCAAGTGCCATTGCCTCTCACCTGTAATCCTAGCTACTCAGGAGACCGAGATCTGAGGATGCCATTCCAAGCCAGCCCAGGCAGGAAAGTCTGCGACCCTCTTAGCTCGTGGCCGGTCTTGTGGTGGGTCTGGTGATGCCTCAGGACTGACAGGTGGGCGGGCTGCTTGAGGAGCAGGTTGCTGGAGCGCTGGGCACGGCCTTAACTGTGCCTGAATGTCTGGGATTGTGCAGACCCTCAATAGATACCGACAGCTCACCATCCTGCAGAGCACGCCCGAGCAAGACTGCTTCGCACGCCTAGGCCCCCGGACCCCGGTGCTGTTCGGGTATGATGTGCAGTCCGGCTGCCGACTGAGGTGAGCCACCTGCTCCCATGGGGACCTGTTGGTGGGCACCACAGAAGGCCCCTGTCCCCTGTATTCGCCATGCTGTGCCTCCACCACGCATCAGTGGTCACCATTAACCATCAATAGCAAATGACCACACCACGCTCCTACACACATGGCAGCTGAGAGCTCATGGCTCTGTGCTCCAGTGTACGCTTGCCTAGCACTTAATGTGCTGAAGTCCTTCCTCCGTTTCTTTTTCCTTTACATGGCAGGGTAAGCAGTGAAAGCAAGCCTGAATGGGACCTCTGCTTTTTTTTTTTTGGCCAGTCCTGGGGCTTGAACTCTGGCCTGGACACTGTCCCTGAGCTTCTTTGGCCCAAGGCTAGCGCTCTACCACTTGGGCCACAGGGCCCCTTCTGGCTTTTTTCTTTTGAGTAGTTTATTGGAGTCTCACAGACTTTCCTGCCCTGGCTGGCTTTGAACCACGATCCTTAGATCTGCCTTCTGAGTAGCTAGGATTACAGGCATGAGCCATTGGTGCCTGGCTGCTTTTTTTTGTTATCATGTATGTGATATAAATTGGCAAATAATTCTGCACAGCTGGATAAAACCAGTTCTTCCCCCTGTGGGCCCATTCTAGAGTGATCACTTGCCATTCTTGTGGCCCGATGGAAATTTTCCTCAAATCTTTCTCTCGTTTATTTGCCATTACTGGGGCCTAAACTCAGGGCCTTGGTGCTGTCCCTTAGCCTTTTCTGCTCAAGGCTAGCACTTTACCATGTGAGCCATGACTCCACTTTGGATTCTTGGTGGTTCACTGGAGGTAAGAGTCTCATGGAAGGCTGGGAAGGTGGCTCAGCGGTAGAGCGCTTGCCTTGCATGCCTGAGGCCCTGGGTTCGATTCCTCAGCACCACATAAGCGAAAAGGAAAAAGCCGGAAGTGGCCCTGTGGCTCAAGTGGTAGAGCGCTAGCCTTGAGCTGAAGAGCTGAGGGATAGTGCCCAGGCCCAGAGTTCAGGCCCCATGACTGGACTAAAAAAAAAAAAGAGTCTCATGGACTTTCCTGCCTGGGATGGCTTGGAGCCAATATCCTCAGACCTCAGCCTTCTGAGTAACTAGGATTACAGGCCTGAGCCACTGGTGCCTGGTTTTCCCTATCTTTAAGTGACTTCCACATAATGCTGCTCCCTGATGTTTGGATTTTCTGAGTGATTCTGGAAGGTTCTCAGAGCCTTTACTGTGCCAGAGTCCTTCAGGAGGAGGGGTGGGGTTGCGGAGAGGCAGTGTTTCCCCAACTTCCATCCACGGCACTCTGAACAGAGCATGTCTCACAGTGGAGTGTGGTTTGAGAAACGCGGTTGTGGCTCATCTACCACCCCCCTCGTGTAGGGGGCCTCTCCCTCCTGGACAGGGAGAGAGGAACAACACTGGGCAGGGCGGGGGGGGGGGATGCAGGCCTCTGCTGCTTCAGTTGGCCTTTCCCTTCCTGAAGGCTGAGCAGCGCCGTCCCGTGTGAGCTGGCTGCACAGAAGGTTGCGGCGCTGCTGAGGGGCCAGGCCTTCCCTGACTACGTGGCCTCCTTTGGAAACTCACGGCCCCAGGACATCCTAGATTGGGTGCCTGTCCACTTCGTCACCCACTCGTCCAGAGGGAAGGTAGGGGGAAAGAAGGGCAGCCAGGGCCATTCATTATGTCTGTGCAAATGTGCTGCTGCCTGAGACACCCCAAATCCAAGCTAGGCCCCCCCCCAGGCATCTCATGCTGGGGCGGTAAAGATGGAGCCATCCGCCTGCGCAGTGCACAGGCCCACGTGTGAGCTTTCAGTTCCAAGTCCCCAAAGAGGAATGGAGGCTGATACCATACAAATAGGTTCCTGGTCACGTGATACTCTCCGCCCCCCAATTTTCTTTTGTCTTAGCAGTCAAAGTGTGGGCGGCCTGTCCAGGCCCCAAGGCGCCCGCTCCCGCTTTATCACTTCTGCCGCTCATCGCCCGCTTCTGCCTGTCAGCTTCATGGAGGCCTCTCATTATCCACGTTGTATTTATAGCCTGGGCTTGGGGTGAGGAGGGGGTGCAGCTCCCCAAGGGGCCCAGCATGCTCCACTGTGCTCTGAGCTGCGCACACATTGCTCCTCCATCTCCTGGGAGCTGGGCGCTGACCTGTCACCCTCACCTGCCTGGACGGACGGATGGGGGAGGCCGCTGGACTCGCCCTAGGCCTCCGCAGGGGGCCGGCACCCCAGCCCTGCGGCTTCCAGGTGCACGTCAGCTGTGCCTCCGAGGGCCACTCCCAGCTCAGGGTTCCACCAGCGCTTTGGGGGCACACAGCAGGCCTGCCACTTTCTTGTGCCCTAAGGCATGTATTTAGAAATGTGTGTGTGTGTGTGTGCACGTGCGTGCATGCTGGTACTGGGGCTTGAACTCAGGTCCTGGGCATTGTCCTTTAATATACACACACACACATATCTTTTTTATACTCAAGGCTAATGCTCTACCACTTGACCCACATCTCCATTTGTCTTTTTGCTGGTTAACTGGAGTCTCATGGACTTTTCTGCCCAGGGTGGTTCTGAACTTCAATCCTCAGTTCACAGCCTCCTGAACAGATGGGATTGTAGGTGTGAGCCACCGATGCCTGCCTCCAGAGAAAGGTTTTGTTTTTGTTTTCATTGTGGAAGTTTTAAGCATCCAGGGAAGTGCCTGGGCATGGAACCCGTCCATCTACCCCGCCATCGTACTCCTCCCCTTCCCCCCCCCAACAGCCAGCACTGCCACCTGAGCAGACTCAGAAGGCAACAAAGTCTGGAGGGCCTCCTTTGGGGCTGACCAAGCATTTTGGGTCCTGGGGCAGCTGTCCACTGTGGCATGCATGCTTGATGCAGATGCTTTGCTGGTATCTTTGACCAGGTGTGGACACAGCTGAATACCTGGATGTCAGTTCTAAATGGCCAACTGATAAAATGAGATAAATGAGGAGTGCTTAATCCATGCTTGTAGCAGTGGCTCAAGCCTATATTCCTAGCTACTCAGGAGGCTGAGATCTAAGGAACATGGTTCAACGCCAGCCTGGCAGGAAAGTCTGTGAGACTAGGCACTGTCCCTGAGCTGCTTTTGCTCAAGGCTAGCGCTTTACCACTTGAGCCCCAGCGCCACGTCTCGCTTTTTCTGCTTATGTGATACTGAGGAACCAAACCCAGGGCTTCCATGAGACTTATCTCCAGTAGACTCAGAGAAACTCCATCAGAGCTGTCTTGGTCTCAGTTCGGGCGGGTACCCTCCTCACCCCCTCCCGCAATGCTAAGTGGCCGTGGGGACGGTGGTCCGGGGTTCATGGTTTGGGGTCGCATGCAGGGGCCCTGCCAGCTGCCCGTGGCTCTGCGCGTGGAGGTGGAGTGGACCAAGCTCGGGAGCCTGGGGAACCCGCAGGCCAGGGTCGTGAACGTCACCGCCAGCCTCCTCTCTGCCCCGCTTCCCGAGGTGAGCGGGCCCCGCCCTGCAGCCCCGCAACAACCAGCTCAGAGCCCAGTAGCACTGGTAGATGTATTACTTGGTAAAGGCGTTGAGCGCCCACGCTGGGGCGCCCCGCGGGGAGGATGCCCCTGGGGAGGAGGGGACGCCCCTGCGGAGGGGTGCTGACCTCTCCCGCTGACCCGCCCGCGCCCCCCACCACAGGTCCGCATGGGCAGGGACGGCGCAATACTCTTGTCCAGCGCAGTCCGGTTTGTGGACGTGTCCGCTCCGGCCGAGGCCGGGCTCCGGGCGCCGCCCGCCATCCACGCCCGGCTGCCCCCCGGCTTCTTCTTCCCCTTCGGGTGAGGTGAGTGCGTGGCGGGGGGTGGGGGGCAGTCCTTCCTCCCTGCCCCCCACTAGAGCGGAATCTTCCTGAAGCAAAGCGCCTACTGCAGGGCGGCTCTGCACAGCCGGGGCGGGGGGGGGTGGTCACTAGGGGGAGGTCGGGGCGCGGGATGGGGATGGGGGTGCGCGGGGATGGGGGGCAGGGGTGCGGGGATGGGGGGGCGCAGGCAGGTTGCAGGCGCAGCGTGGACCGCAGTGAAGGGGGAAAGGCGGAGCGGCTGGAAGCCGGGGTGCCGCTGGGCCTCACCCCCCAGGGCCGGCGCCCCAACACCAGCTCCTTACAAAGCGGGAATGGAGGGCTTTTCGCCAAGCGGCTGCTTCTCCTTGCAGAGGGCGCGCGGCCCGCCACCCGCGGGAACCGAGGACGGAGTGGACGGGGCGGACGTCGGTCCCCGCGGTCCGCGGTGCGGCGGGGCCGGGCCTCCCGCCCTCCCCGAGGCCTAGGCCTCGCCCGGCAGCAGCCCGTGCCCGCGCAGCAGCCCGTGCAGCCTCTCGATCTCGCGCTCCTGCGGCAGGGCAGGCCGGGGTGAGGCCGGGGTCGGCCCCGGGTCCCGGGGTCAGCCCCGCCGCCATCCCCAGCGCCGCGGTGGTGCCTCACCTTCTCCGTGCAGCTGAACTCCAGGTGCTGGATCTTGGCGGCCAGCTGGACGTTCATCTGCTTCAGCCGCAGGAGCTGCCGCTCGGAGCGCGTCTTCACCGAGATGATGATCCCTGCGGGGAGGGGCCACGACACGGCTTCCGCGCGTGCGCACAGGACCTGGGCTGGAGCTCGGGACCGCGCTAGCCTGAGCTGTTCACGCAAGGTTCCCGCGCTGCCACGTGAGCCCAGCGCCACTTCTGGCCTTCCGGCGGTCCGTGGAAGAGTCTCACAGACGTGGCTGCCCGGATGCTTTGAAGCACTACCCTCAGACCTCCACCAGCTCCGACCCCCAAATTCAAAACAGAGCCGCACCAGGAAAAGCCTGAGAGCTTGTGGACCTTTCCAGAAGTCGCTCTTTCCCACCTTGTACTGTGGATAGAATCCAGGGCTCCTGCTCCAGCCTCCACACCACCTAGCGGAGACCGCAGGCACAGGCTGCGCCGCGGCAGCGGCCATGGGAACGGCTGCCGTGAAGGTCCCGAGCACAGCGCCGCGTGAGATGCGGCCAGGCCAAGGGCCCCCCTCGGAGTCCCACAGACCTGGGAACCCGGGTGACCAGCCGTGCCCCTGTCCCACCCGCAGCCCACGCGCATGGGACGCACCGTTGATGATCCGGGCCACACGCCACAGCCGCAGCAGGATCAGCAGGCCCAGGGCCTCGAACTCGTGTTCCCGAAACAGAAGGACAATGTCCAGGACAAAAGACACTACCACCACAATGGCGTCCAGGATCTCAAACTTGTGGTGGAAGAACTCCAGGTGGAAGATGAAGATTTTCAGGAAAACCTCCACCATAAAGACGAACAGGATGGCGATGCTCATGAAGTGGAACACCTGAGGATGGAGACAGTCACCCGAGCCCCCACTGCCGTGCACAGCCGACGGCGAGCCGGCCACCGGCTACGGGCACACCACCCAGCCCTTGTTCCAAAGAACTGGGAGCCGTCACCCCCGCTAATTCTGAGGGGACAGAGTGCCCATCAAGTGGTGGGGGCATCCCCCAGGTGTCACAGCTCCTGTACCCCCAGAATGGGTGCCAACCTAGGTGGGAGGGAACTAGGGAAGAGCCCCCATCCAGTGTGTGTGTGTGCATGTGCGCACGCGTGCCCATGTGTGCGTGTGCATGTGTGCGCGCACGCGCCGGTCCTGGGGCATGAACTCTTTTCTCTTGAGGGTAGTACTCTACCACTTGAGCCATGCCACCACTTCCAGAAATAAGCACGTCAGGGACCTTCCTGCCTGTCTTTGAACTGCAATCCTCAGATCTCAGCCTCCTGAGTAGTCAGGATTACAGGCGGGAGCCACCAGCGCCAGGCCCCATGCAGTTCCTGGCTGAGGAACCCTTTCCTCACAGCTGGCGAGTCCCACAGTGGCTAAATGGGGCAATTTGAATGTGAAAACACAACAGATGTACCGTGACACACACCGGATTGTTCTGACCTCTGAGTCCCCAGTGAGGACCTGCTGCTCTGGGGGTGGGGGGTGGGGGCGCCCTCCATGCAGGGAGTAGAAGCGACCCCATGGGCAGCCATCCACCAGGGCTGCGCGGCCTTACCTGGGCCGCATAGTTGTTCTTGTCGGGCTGGATAATCCTCAGGTCCAGGATGAGCTCGGCAAGCACCAGGAGTGCATCCAGGATCACCAGGCAGATGACCACCACCTTCCGCAGAGACCAGCCAGGAGCCTGAGTTCAGCATCCTGCCCAGTCCCTTACTAACTCCCATCCCCCCATATTGCTACACTGCTCCTTTCTATTCTCCCCTCCCTGTACCGTCACCCAAAGGCCACCTTCTCGGTGGCAAAAAGTATGTGCTTCTTAAAAAGTGGTCTGTTTGCTTTTTCTTTTTTGTGTGTGTGCCAGTACTGAGGCTTGAACTCAAGGCCTTGATGTTGTCCTGACCTTTTTTGTTCAAGGATGGTGCTCTATCACTTAAGCCACAGCTCTACTTCCAGCTTTTTGCTGGTTAACTGAAGAGTAACTGAACCTGAATTCTCAGAGCTGGGCGTTCTGACAGCTGGGATTGCAGGTGGTAGCTCTGGCACCTGACTCCATTTGTAAAGCCACACAAGTGTGGGGAACATTTTTTTTTTCTTTCCATTTTACCCCAGAAGTCAGTGAGAGAGGTGCTGTCCACTGCTTCTAGAAAGGATCTGGACACGCAGGGTGCCTGCAACTGTGCCCTGCAAGTGCTCCCCCAAGGCCTCCCACTCCCCACACCCCAACTTGCTCCCAGCACCTGCTCATTCCCTGGGGTGTGATGAGGCCACACTGCGTGTGCACGTGCTGCCCACCCCACAAAGCCCCCACAGCCACAGGCAAAACCCAGCAGGCAAGCCAGGTGTCCGTGGCTCATGCCTGTCATTCTCGTTACTCAAGAGGTTGCAATCTGAGGACCACGGTTCAAAGCCAGCCCAGGCAGGGGTTTGTGACTTTATCTCCAATGAACCACCAGAAAACCAGAAGTGGCGCCATGGCTCAAGTGGTAGAATACTCACCTTGAGCTGAGGGACAGCGCCCAGGCTCAGTTCAAGTTTCACAACCAACAACAACAACAAAAATCGGGCAAAGAATGGGCCGAGCCCCTAAGGCAGGGTGCTGGGGGCTTCTTTCGTGGAGTAGACGCGAGCGAGCGCCTTCCGCCTCCAGCAAGCAGCCTTTCACTACCACACGCCTGTCTGGGAATTTGCATAACCTAAAAATTGCCACTGTGAACATTTTTAAATTACACCAAGTTCAGCGGCCTTCAGCACCCTCAGTCGCATGGCTACCACCACTATCTAGTTAGTTCCAGCACCCCAAATGGGAACCCCAGATCCACTGTCACCTCCTCTAGTTTATGGGCAGCCGCCATCTGCGGCGTGTGTGCCCGTCGCGTGAGTGCGGTCGCCGTGTGCAACCTTGCGGTCGGCCTCGAGGCCATCCTGTGTTTAAGGGCATCCACATACAGTGCAAGTCCGTGACTCCTTCCTTTTCATGGCCGAGTAATATTCCACTGAAGGAACAGGCCACGTTTGACTTACCCATTCCCCCCGGACGGGCCCGCCCCCGCCCCCCGCCCCCCGCCCCGGCCCCA